CATTGGCATGTGACAAAGTTCCTTCTATTTTGACCGTAGTGGTCCATAACAACGATCCCTACTTTTCACCATGTTGTAATACTACAACAAAACCGTTGGAATGTTTGATAGTAGCCTGATATATCGTAACAGAACCAACAAGTTTGTGTTATTACAAACTTATGGTGCTGGTAGACGTAAATGACCACTGTTTTGACATTAAAAATTGTTTCAGAAAATTTTGTGAATGTTGTTGGATTAAAACATGTTTTGTTTTTTATCAACATTTGTTGCTAGCAAACTTTGCATCAAATGTGTTCTAAATTTTCAACAATTTTTTAACAGTGGTATACCATTGTTGCTGCGGGCAATAACATTACAGTTAGAATGTACAGTTTAGATTATTTCCCATCATCTATTTTAAATGACACAGGTTTAAAACCAAAAGTAACAAAAAATTGCCATAAAATATGTTAAAATCCCACAAATAGCCGTTTGGCCGATAGAGCGCGTAGCGCCGACCCCGACGGCAAGAATTCAACATTACTCTATTGTTTTCGTGTTATGTTCGTTGCTAGTTAAGATACTCCTCACAGACGCAATTGAAGTTATTACAAGGTAGATGTACGCCAGACCACGTCTCGCGTAACAGGCGTCGCGATACCTCACGAAACACTGTTACACTGCGACGCGCCTGGCATCCATCTACCTTGGCCTGCGGCGCTGACACCCGAGTCAGGTAGTGCAAAAATGTGCACAAAGATACGGGCCTCCGGCCCGTCAACGCCCGTCACTTCGACTTATCATGCAGGGTTGTACATTTTAGCAGATGATACCTTACAAACATTTTGACTAAACATAAAGAATATATAAGTAACTTTAAGGTGTCAGCTAGCTTTTACTCTCAATGAGTACAGAGAACCATAAGCGCAGACCAGAAAACAATTTATTTGGCCCTGGGGGAGCCGAGTGAGTGAGTGCCCGAGCGCCCGAGTGTCGCGTCGGTCGCTGCAGGCCCCTGCTCAACAATACTTGGGTCCCACAGCCGCGACTGCATCCCGGTACGCTACCCGTACGCTACCCCCTCCCTCCCCTTTATAATAATGCCTGTCAAAGACGATAAACGAGTGAAACATTTAAAAAATGATGCAAAACCACCACACGAAAAACTAGAAACTAGAAATATTAAAACACAGGTATACTATAGTATTAAATTGGTATCATCTGCTTTCAAGATGGATTCTTGATTTAGATTTTTCGCTTATTTTCGTCAAAAACACCCTATAGCGCCTCAGCGGTTTGAGCTAGAGCAAAATGGACAAAATTTTTGCCAGGAGGGCTCTACTTTGATGAGTTACCACCTAGGACGCCATAAAATAAATATTTTTAAAAAACGTCATATTTGGGACCTGTTGTTTTCTATTTTTAAAAAATCCAATTTTTGAGCTAGAATGCTCATCTTCGAACTCGATCTGTCTTTGTATGATACAAAACGACCCTGAAAATCCCAGGTTGCTCGCTCAATTCGTTTTCGAGTTTTCGTGCGGACAGATACACAGACAGACAGACAGACAGAAAAAGTTTTTTCCGACCAGACGGAGTAATAGGCTTCGCTAATCGCTCAGCCAATAATTCCTTTTGGGGGTATAAAAATGAAGTAGGCATGCGGTTCGGACCCACGCAAAGTGATAGGGGCGAAAGAGGTATAGAGGGAAACAGTATGCTGAATCAGAACAGTGTGGGACCGTCCAGAGGAAGCTGCAACTCGCCAATTTCCGCAAAAACGCAGTTTTTGCGTTAAAAAACGTTAAAAATTCGACCTCTAAATTCAACTTAAAAAATCGGAAAAAAATCGTTTTAGTATCTACTAGTCAGTCCGTTTACTGCGGCAATGTGTCCCGAGCACTTTTTGAAAACAGCATTTTTTTGGGACGGTCTAACGTTAATTGGCTGAGCGATTAGCGAAGCCCATTACTCCACTGACCGGAAAAGTTTCATTCTGTTTGTCTGTTTGTTAGTCTGTCTGTCTGTCCGCACGATAACTCGAGAATGAATTGAGAGAGCGATCTGGGAATTTCAGGGTCGTTTTGTATCA